TTTCGGTTTTGGTTCAGACGTGAAGTAAGACTTTTTGCCATTAGAAGGTCACTGTTAGTCTAGTTGCTTTCCTATTTTGTAAGGTTCTGTTATTTTTAAACATTAATAAATCAACACGTAATGAAGCAAATTTTAAAATGAGAACCTTGAGGTACACCTAAAGAAACTGTAATCTCATGAGATACAACACCCACAATTTTTACGCTTTGAAAACGATTTGTTAAATAACTTTGAATCAATGTCAGCATGACACCCGATATTCCAATATTTTTTAGTTTGTTAATAAGAAGTTTGTGGTTTACTCGATCAAAGGCTTTTGAGAAGTCTGTATAGATCGAGTCAACTTGTAACTTGGTTTCTAAAGCATTAATTATGTAAGTGTTGTAAAGCAAGATATTAGTCACTGTTAACCGACCAGGACAGAAACCATGCTGTTCATTAATGATGATGTTTTTACATTCCCAAGATAAGAACTTAGATGAGAATGTTTTAGAAATATCGGACTGGATACAAACAGCTCGTTAGTTTTCAATTTTCTCTTTTGGGCCCGATTTATAAATTGGTTTCAAAAAACTATGTTTCCAGAAATTTGGAAAGATTCCTGATTTAAGGAATATGTTAAAAACGCTTTTTAGAGGATTAGCCAAAGTATAAATGCATTTTTTTAAAATATAAGTTGGAATCCCATCTGGATAATGGGAAAATTTCGATGGTAGACTGTTAATTCTTTTCATAATGTCGATCACATTAATTTGCTGAATCTCAGTCAAATATGTATTAAAACCTGTTTCTTAAATCTGGCGACACTAGCCGTGGCCTTCATTTGAAGTGGACCTTGCATATGTTTGTTTTCAAGATAGAATTCTTTATGAAACTCGAAAAATTCGCTACAGAAACGTATGCTTTATTGAAACATAGGTATAGAGATGTATCATGCACCCAGGTTTTCGAGTGATCAACAAGAGAAAAGAAGTAATTGCAGACGATGAGCGCCCAGGACGATTTTGCACTTTAAATATAAACATTGCAGGTAAAATAGGGAAGCAGTTTAGCGTGCTTGGCAGATAAAAAAACAGCTGATAATGCAATAACTAATGATTCTAAATTGGATATTATGTTTGAGTTTTAGGAAAATCCACATACTTCTAGTCAACAAGTAGCCCCAATGTTGGATATTAGCCATTCGTCGATTGTTCGAAAAATAAAAGAAAATAAAATGCGTCCCTATAAAATAATAGTAACTCGTTATTTAATTAAATTTGCACTTGGGATATTTTTCAATAAGATGTCCCAATATTTTATTCTTGCTATGTTATAGTGATTTCTGTACAAACGACGAACAAGAACATAAGAATCATTGTTTTTATAAAAAGCACAAATACAAAAATCATGTTGTTGCCACGTAAATCGCTTCATTGGAACTAAAACTTAACTAGTGATGTGTTGTTATTTAACTATCTGTTATTTTTAAGCTGTTATTTGGAAGACAACGGTTACAACTGTTAATCTAGTTCAAAAATAACAGGTGCAAAATAACGCTACAACACAAAACGGTTGGCGATTGCTTCCTCGCGAAATGCGACTTAACGAGAACGTCTTGGTCGATGCCATTCATTGCCGTCGATTGCGCCGCCAAATTTGCAATAACATGCGTTATTTTAATAATGCTACTAGCAATCGTTATTCAACTAGTATTTACTACTGTTGTTTCAGTGTCGCATGCGTTCGTGTTTCAAGCATACTGGCGCTGAACTCTGGACCATTCGAGGTCTATTGACATTGAAAAATGTTCGAGTAGTCAGGGGCCTGGGGACTATTTTCAAACTCAAGAGAATTCATTTTATCTTAAGAGAAATGTCATACGTCAAGGTAAAACAGTATTTTTAGGTTTCTTAGGACCAGTGTGAACTCACTGACTGTTTCTCTCGGTTTATTTAGAGATAATTAAAATTCTCCTAAAAATCGTAATCGTCGAGGTCTTCAGAAACAGCGTTTCCACATTGACGTATGACATTTCTGATGAGAATTTTGAGAGAAATGAGTGCTCCCATACTTTGAAAATAGCCCCAGGTGTATTGTTATTTCGTTTTAAGTAGGTGCACTATGTAGTTTCCTAGTTCAACCACTAGATGTTAAAAATAACGACAACCTGTTATGTAAAAATAACAGTAACAGTTTTAACTGTTAAATGAAAATAACGCCTTTTCCCCTCACTAAACTTAACACTGTCGACAGTGTCGACCACCACCGTTTGCCAACCGCCTCCTTTCTCGAGAATTTGTCTATTGCGCCAGTGGACGGATTAATGAACAACAATATTTCTGAGACACCAATTACTTCGAAAAATTTGCAGCCATAGCTCTGTCTCAAGTGTATTAAATGGGATAGCTAAAAAGACACTATTATCATATTACAGTGAAACCTGTGTAAAACGGAATCGCACGGTCGTGCACCGATTTTCCGGCATATACAGGATTCCGCGTTACACAGGGTAGATAAAAAATTGCACATAGTAGATTTAAAAAAGTGATGATTTTATTAAAAAAAATCTAATATACGTACAATTAATATATAGTTATTATTACTATGTACCTACATATTTTTATTTATTATTAGAAACAATATAAATTATTATTTATTCCACATTTCTATCAATGTAAGTTGTTTTTTATTCTTTTGTAATACGTAAGATGATTCCATGAATGTCCTTAATTCTAAAATCTTCTTTCTCATCGGTTCGCTCTCTATTCTTTGGGAAAAATCCTCTAACGCTGCAACACTCCTCAAAGCTTCAGAAATTTTTTTTATCCGATCGGATTCTTCAACTTCTGTTCCTGTAGATAAAAATAATAATTTAAGAACAGATCGTTTTGAAAAGCTAATGGGAAAATAATTTTTTCTATCTGTTATTTTTGTGATGGTAACTGAAATCTTTCTATCTTATTTTATTATGTATTTTAACTTTATTTCTACTTGGCCAAATGCCCAATTAAGATGGAAAGAATAAATAAAAAGTTGTTTATTTTTTTAGAGAATTAGAAAAATCGCTTACCAATTCCAATCCCATCATTATCGTCTGCCACAGTAGTTTCCACGGCAGTTTTTTCTAACACCAGTTCTTCTATGGACTGAAATCCAGCATTTGTTGTAACGGCTTCATCTAATGTGATGTAATCATGAACATTACAACCGGGATTAATTTCAGTAATTAACTCTTCGACTTCTTTTGTACTTTCGTCAATTTCGTCAACATTTTCGATTAGGTCAACGTCTCCTTCTTGCTTGATTCCACATGCCGCAAAACATTTTTTAACACAATCAGGTTTAATATATTTTACTGAATAATCAATCCATCTGATAGCATCCAAAACTGATATTTTTTTAGCCAAATCTCCTGCTGATTGAGAGAATCTCATATTCGCAATAATTGACCGCAGCACTTGTTTTCTGTAATGCATTTTGAAGTTTTGTATAACTCCATGATCGAGCGGCTGTGTTTGACTTGTGGTGTTTGGTGGTAGAAAACACAATTTTATATTGGATAGTATTATTTTGGGGTGACACGTTGCATTATCCAAAAATAGAAGGATGTGTCGATTTTCAAATTTCATTTTTTGATTTAAAATTTTTAGCCACTGTTCCATAAGAACTGATGTCATCCATGCTTTTTTATTTGCTCGCCAATAAACTGGTAGCTGAGGCACATTGGTATTGTTAAAACATCGCGGTCTGAGGGATTTTCCAATAACTAGAGATTTTTCTATTTTTCCGTCAGCAAAGGCGCAAAACAAAACGGTTAACATTTCTTTAGATTGTTTGCCTCCTTGACATTTTTCACCTTTAAAGCACATTGTCTTGTCCGGCAGCGCTCTATAAAAAAGGCCAGTTTCGTCACAATTAGCAATGTCTTTTAGGGTATATCCTTTAATTAAATCTGTAATGTGCGATGTCCATTCAGTCACAGATTCCATGTCGACGTCCTTAGCTTCACCGCAGATCTGATTAAATCTTATGTTATGTCTTGTTCGAAAACTTTCCAGCCATCCATTCGAAGCTTTAAAATCTACTTTTCCAAAATGGTTTGCAATTTCTCTTGCTTTTTCTTGAATAATTGTTCCAGATACAGGAAGATTGCGAGACCTTGCATCCATAAACCATTCCAAAACTGTTGAATTTACGTCGTCGTGATGTGATTCCTTTGGCTTTCTCTTAATATCGCCATTACCACCACGCATCCACTCTTCTTTAATTTTTTCCTTGTTTTTCAAAATTTCATACACTTGCGTTTTTCCGCACTTAAATTGAATAACCAATTGCTTTGGAGTAAGTTTTTTTTGGTCACTACATTTAATTAAGTCCATTTTAGATTTTAGCGATAATGTATTCGTTTTTCGGTTTGCCATTTTGAAATGTTTGCACTTTCACGGATAAACTCAAACTGCCGTACCTACACAATACTGGTTTATTTGTGTATTTACTGCTTTTGTACCTAAATTTCTGTGATAATGGTTCTAAGTATTGATAATAGTTCGCCCTTATTATGGGGCTTTCCGAAATCATAAACTAATTATGTAAACATCTATAAATTCTTTTATACCTGCAAAGCAATAACATAAGTAGGTTCCGGCTTAACAGATTAGGGAAATTCCGTGTTCGCGTTAGACAGGGTTCCGGCTTATAAGCAATTTTTACATTACAATATGTAGGTAATCGCCAAAATTTCCGTCATACACAGGATTCCGTGTTACACAGGTTCCGGCTTACTCAGGTTTCACTGTATTTGTATATCTCTCTGTCTATGGATTTTATATCGCGAGTTGGCTTATTATTGCAATTATTTAATACGGTATTTATAAAGTATTTAATAGAGTATTTAATAGATTATTCAATAGAGTATTTAATAGAGTATTTAATAAAGTATTTATTATAGTATTTAATACAGTTTTTAGTATGATTTAATTATGATCTAAAATTATTTTTTAATAATTTTTTTGTCTTACCTCAAACATAAATGTATCGACTTCTTCTCTGATATCCTCATCAGACAATTCTTCACCTTCCACGGTAGTTGCCATTAACATATCTAGCAAAGCTGCTCTTCTTTTAATTCCTTCTTCAGATACGTTAGTTTGATTATTTTTATCTTTATTCGATCTGTATTCTGCTCTTCGTTCTTTAATAATTGTGTTGGTAAAATCGTGAAGAATTTTTAAAGTTTTATTGTACGTTTGGTACAACGATGAAAATCTGAATATTATGGGATTTCTGAGCCAACCCGAGAAAAATCTCAGAGTAAAGATTTCTAGGAAGTTTGTTACAGCTTTGACGTACTCAGGGTTTCCGTTTCGTTGGGCATTTAGAGGTGTGCCGAATGCAGTTTCTGCAATAAAAAATTGTATAATAATAGTTGTTTATGCAAAAAGTGAGAAAAATTACACTTTTACTACGAGCGATGAGTAATTAATTTAGTTGTTGCTTGCTTGGCGGCTCAAATTGTTCTCTGTGTGAAGGCATGTATCACCTTGTTGTGTTAAGAGTAATTGGTTTAAGTAAATAAATTGTGTGTTTTGACACTATCTTGTGATTGGTTTAGAGAAAATGGCGTGGTTTGATCACGGTTAGCGTGGAAAGAGATAGAGATGTGTTACAACTATTGAAAAAGTGTATGTATTTATTTGTAACGATTTATTTTAAAAGTGCTTATGCGAGTGCGAGTGAAATATGTCTGTGAGTGGGAACAAGTCGGAAGAGCTTATATTTATTTAATCGGAATTTTTCACAAACTGAGAAAGCTATATTTCTACTGGGTTCCTGGCAGTTGTTTGTATTGACAAGCGGAAGCTTTTCGTTTAGATATTTGAAATACGTTCAACGGCATTTATCAGGGTTGGCTTTAATTTTAGTTTATTATTTATGTAATTGAAACATTATTTTTATTTATGTGAGATTATTAAATTAGGTAATGCAAACTACAGATTAAAAAAAATATATATCGCGGTCGACCTGGCAAAAACTCCTATCTGCAATTTTTACCGAAAATGAGTTATTACTGTTTTTGCATTCTACTAGGCCATGCGCATGTTAAGTAAAATTATCCTATAGCTCAAAAAATCGTAAAATCGTTAAACTCTGTTATTTCAAATTTTCCCATTAGAAACCCAACCTGTCGCGGCATGCAAAATCTCCTATCCTTTACTTCGTCAATACTCAGTCACACGATGCATGTCAAGACGGCTACACGTGCGTTGTTTTTATTATTTTTATGTAAAAAACGGTAAGTTTTATTTAATATTTTTTGACAAATGCATGTTTTATTAGGTATAGATCAATTTTATTTCATTATATATATTTCAAACAGGATTGTAGATCTATTTTAACTTTTGTTTCGTTTTTATTTCAGATAGGAGATTTTGCAGCTGCATAAAAAAGTTGTATAGGAGATTTTGAATCATGTCTTCCAGAGGGAAAACAATTATTGCCATGCTGAATTCAACTAAAAATAATAATTCTCCTTCTAATGGAAACTTTTCTATGGAACAGCGAACAAGAGATATCGACCAATTTGATATTTACAATATACCTGTAATCACTGCAGAGGAATATTTATTACAGACACAAACGAGGTCTTTAGTGTTTGAAGACCGTCTACTGAGTAATAGAAACCTAACGAACAATTTAAAATGTGATAATTTAGAAGACTGTATACCAAATCTACCTGCTACCTCTCTAGAATATATTGTGATGGATGTTAATTATCTAAATGATATTGAACACTATTGAGTTGAACAGAGGTTCTTTTAAAGACTGTTTAGATATAATAAACGACGATAATCCTAATATAAATCACACCCAATTAGAAATATTAAACATTTCAAATACTTTAGAACCCAAATCTTTAGTAGCCAATGAGTTACCAAGTGACGAAGAAAATGGAAACAACAGTGATACTTCTTATAAACAACCATCAAACAATAAGTCGGATACAGAAAGCGAAAACGATGTGACAAATACATTAGAGAACCAATTCATTGAAGACGAAAATGTTAAGATAGGAGGAAAAAGAAAGAAAAAGGCAGACGAAAAGAATTGGACTCGAATTAGGAAGGAAAACTTGGGGTTTAAAAAAGAAGAAGGTAAAATTAAGCAATACTGCCAACGCTTGGAAAGATCGCTAAAGCCAGTCTGTAATTCACCAGTATGCAAAAAGTCTAAAAAAAGATTTTGTTCACAATTTAGTGAGGAATGCAGACAAAAGATTTTTAAGAAATTTTGGAAAGAAAGTAATTGGGAACAACGAAAAACTTTTGTTTCTTCTCACTTATGAAAAGGTGAAACTTCTAGAAGACAGGGGACTTTTGTTTACTTTTTGAATAACGGAGAAGAAAAACTTCAAGTGTGCCGCACGATGTTTATTAATACTTAAAAGTTTTACTCAGAGACTTCTTTTCAAACGCTAAGTTATTTGTACAAAGTTTATCAAGAATATTGCAAATAATAGGGGCGTCCTTCAATGAGTAGAAATATATTTAACAAAGTCTTTCACGAAAAAAATCTCTCACTTTTCCGACAAAAATAAAGACCACATGTTTTTCGTATAAATATAAAAATGAACTGAAGAGAAGTGGAAAATTCATGTAGCCAATAAAGAAAAAGCTAGAAAGGCAAAGACAACCGACAAAGAATTAGCTGAAAAGGGGAAAATTGTGGCATTAACAATGGACTTACAGGCAGTCAAACTAGCGCCATTTTTGCCAGCTGGAAAAATCTATTTTAAAACAAAACTGTGTTGTCACAATTTTACTTTATAAAATTTGGCCACTCATGATGTAACTTCTTACTGGTTTTCCGAGGACCAAAACAATCAGATACAATCTTCTACGTTTACGTTTACGTTTCAGAATAGAAACAATATTTTGTCCAATGCTATTTTAAACTTTTCCATCAAACACCAAATATTTGTATACCAGAAGTATTTAGAGCCGGGTCACACTCAAATGTAGTGTGACTCGGTTCATAGCACAATAGAAAGAAAACTACGTCATCGTGAAATATATTTACCAAGTGATTACGCTTCCGTTACTAAAGAATCAAGATTAAATCCTAAACCCTATGATGTACAAATTTTAGACTTCAACTTTTTCAAAAACTTTTCTGATTCCAAGTTTCATCGATATTCTTCGATATGCCCAGGTAAAAAGACCAATGATCCCGTCGTCAATGATATTAAATGTATGAAGTACATCCCCAACGGGAAAATTCAGGTGAAGTTAGACTACGATAGTGACTATATTGATCTGCCTGTAAGACCAAAGATTTTGGACCTAATAAATGACTACCCACAACTTTTAAAAAACCAATGTAAAATTAAAAGAGAAAAATGGAACCACCTTCAGGATCTTAAATCGGTGTTACCAAAAGATACGCATTCGTTTTACGACAATCTGCTTTTTGATTAGTTTCTAACATTAATTACTATTATTGTAGTACTTAAACATAGAACAACTTTTTAATTTTTCTAATAATATCAGTTATTTTTTTTTTCTTTTTATATAATCCCAAGCAAAGATGGGATTCAAAAATATTCGTTTATTTTAATAAAGCTATACTGAAATTATTTTAATACTAATTATTTTGCTTTCTTCAATTTATCCTATCCGAAAAAAAAAGCGATGCAAAAACTCCCTTTAGTTATTTTATCAATGTCAATATCTCCTATCTGACCTATATGTTTATGTAAGAACTATATTGTACAAACAATTTTTAAATATAACAAATAGTCCAAATGCACTTTTAAACAAAAAAAGTACCGTAAAATGGGGTGAATAGAAACAGGTTTCATGTTATTGTGTAACGCTACTGCGATGTTTGATGAGATAATGTAGTTTAAATTAGTGTAAAACTTGGGTCTTAGTCTCTTCTAGATGAAGTGTACTATAAATTATTTAAAAAAAAAATAAATTTGTATTTTATTTTTTTTTTCGTTGTGTTTCTATTCACCCTACAAATGGGGTCAAACGAAACACATACTTAATTGAGCGTTTGTGTCTATTCATAGCATTGTGGGGTGTCTAGAGACTTCAAAAGAAAAATTCAGTTTGATTAAATCAGTTTTATTTAACACAAAGACCTTAAAACGAACTAAAAACAAAAAGTTCAATATATTCATCTACATAGTATATGTAAATATAAACAGATGAAGAAATCAAAAACATAAAAATTAAAAACATCACTAAATAAAATTAGTATATTGTCAAATCACTGCGATTATCCGGAAAAGTAAGCATATCTTTGAATCGACCAGAGGAAAAAACAGTGGGAGAAGACAACCCTCGAACTATATCAACATGATCTATGAACGACTCTTCTGTTGTTACAGAAAACTCCATTGTCTCGCCGCCCTTTTTATAAAAAAGTCCCACATGCACATCATCAACGAGATAACAAATTTTGATCACGTACAATCTAACAGACTCCTTGGTCTTACCGCAGACTTTCGTAATTGCAAAATCTCCAGGGTGAAGGGTCTCGGTACTTTTACGTGTAGGACTATTTGTGAAGGAATTTCCTGTATCTTCAGAAAATGATAGGTCCAATTCATCATCACTGTCTTGAAGGGAATATTTAGAGCTCACTGACGATGAATCTTCATCATTCGTTTTTGTATTTTTCTTTGAACGAGTAGGATGTTTGCTTGAAGAAGCTACCGGTGTAACAGCTTGGTTGAAATCTGCAGGGTCGATATCTGCTTGATATTCCTGTATGCCGATGCTTTTACCTGGTTGAAAAACACAGTTTTTCCTAGTCTTCCGGGGTTTTGGAGTGTCTCCTTGCCTCAAACTTCTTAATAATTCTTTAAAAGTGTCGTCGATTGATTCAACGGTACACATCTGTAATGTCTGGATGGGGTCAGTATAAGGTAGCATTGACAATACTTTGACTCGTCATATAGGGACAATACCACATTTTTTGAAACCGGAAATAACATTATCTTGTTTAAATGTTGAACATAGCTGATTTAGCAAACCAGGAAATTTATCTTTTGGAACAGTCGACTCATTTCTACCTGGACCTTCTTTCAAGTTTCTAAAATATGACGCCAAGATATCTTTACTGGACGAAAAAAAGCCATGTCCAGTGGCTGGGTCAGGTGGGTTGAATTGTTTGGGAGAAAAATGAATTTAATATTATTCTCCTCACACAATCTAATTGCCTCCAATGACAGATGTGATGCTAAATTATCACCAATCAAAAACTTTTGTCCCTCAAGCCTTCGCAAATAGGGGACTGCTACAGTTTCAACCTAATCTTGAAAACAAAAGGCATCAAACCAGTCCGATTTTGTTCTATTGTAACGAGAGTTCTTAGGGCCATTTTCAGTCCAACTTTGGTAGAGATGTAGGGCTTTATATACCACATAAGGAGGTAATATATTGCCGTCCCCAGCAGCAGCAGCAGCAGCAAACATCACAGAAACCGAAGATTTGGTAGAGTTCATTACTCGTTCCGGATATTTGCATCCTCTTCTGGTAATAACTGTCTTCCTCCCTGGGTCATCAGATAAATTCGTCTCGTCATAATTAACGATGTTACCAGCTGGTACGTCTTTCAATTCCACCTCGAGGTTATCAAAGTATTCGTTTATCACCTCCGGAGAAATAGCAGCCCTGTTTCTTTTTATATTTTGGCACATCCTTAAAGATAAGGCTTGTTTATGTCTTTCGATAAAAGGATATACGAAGTCCCTACCAGGTAAATTGTCTTTGAACACTTTTATGCTTTTTCCCTGACGATCTAAAAACTCTTTCACTAAGAGTCTTAATGTCAGGGAATCAATGGGATAACACCAGTCTTCACATACCTGTAGTCTGTTTACAAGAATGGATTCCTCCATATCAGATAAAGCCGTCTGTCCACCTTGTTTTTTCATTTGTTTTCCCCGTTTGCAATGTCTGTAAAGCACGCTTAAATAAATGCCATGCTTTTCTGACGAGTTTCTTAAACTTAACCCTGACCGTATATCTAGAATTGCACTTCTGATTTTTTCCTCAGAGTGCCTTTTATACTGTTTAGTAGTTTCACTACTTCGTTTGTATTTTCGGGGGATGTTTCGGGTACAATCTGAAAAAACAACAAATTATTTAATAGTTATCTATAATATAAGGATACAACAAACTATAAATGACTGCACAAACGTCGTTTCTGACAGATCATCTAGTTACAAACCTACTAATATAAGTTTATTACTTGTGGGGTCAATAGAAACACTGTTTCTATTCACCCCACAGATTCTAAATAGAAACGTCACAAAAAACAAAAAATCACTGCTGACAAACTAATGTGAAATATCAAAAATTAAACATAAACCTATTGCTAAAACACTGTGTGTAACGTTTAAAACGTACCTACCAGTGGTATATAACATTCAGTAGTTTGGTACTTACATAAAAAGTTCTGGGAGCTCCAAAAAATCACAAATCTTAACCTCAAAGTCAACTGTCAACAGAAGGAATTTACAGGTGTGCCAACATAACAAATTACAATTTTTCTATTAGTTTTAGGTATAGCCAACTTCACGATGACCATAAAATTCTTCTTTTTTTTATTGTTTATTTATTATTTTCCGCCAAAAATTTAGCAATGTTTTGTTTCTAATTACCCCACTGTTTCTATTCACCCCATTTTACGGTAGCAAAATATTCTTTTAAGAGCCGTAGCAAAGTTTTTTGTGTTTCCTGTAAAGTTTGTCAATTATCAGACAGGAGGTTTTGCCAGGTCGCCCGCGATATACTTTTGTGCTTATGTTAACTACACAGTAGTATTACGTTACATTATTTATAAGGGGGATCATAAAAAAAGTAACTAAAGTATTTGTTAAAGAATGTAATTTTTGAACAAACTCCCTGAATATTGTAGTTGCTTCCGTACTTGGAATGACCAGTCAGAATACCTGTGATCAGGCACAGCTCCTGTCTAGTCATAGTATTTCTCTGCCGTAGTGTTGTTGGGTTAATTTAAAAGCTCCCTGATAACTCTGCAGCTTTTTGTTTCACCTCAACTTCATTTGATCAAAAAACCATTTCGTAACAATATTATACCTTCGTAGCACAGTGCGTTGATCAGGCAAATTGCAAAAGTCCATATTAGATCTTACGATTTGATACTCAGTCATGAAGTCCATTTAATTTTTTTATACAAATATTTAATTTTGTAATACCAATGTTTAATTTTTAATATTATTAATATCGATTAAAAATATTAGAGATAAACAAAATAAATATACAAAAATTATTTCGTTAAAAAAATATATCGATATATTTACGAATGGCAAATGTTCGTTCAGAAAGAATAGAAAAAATAATGTAAGCAACATGTGAGAAAAACTCTTTTGAGTTTGTTTTACAAACTATTATTTCCATGCTTTATTTTAGATACGCTATTTTTCAGTACATTTTATATGATTGTGCCTGATAATAGTATAGGCATCAAAGTTTAATAAAACCAGAAGTTTAGTACAGATCTGATATGTATATGTATGTATATCAGAGTTTTTGTACTGTAAAAATTAAAGTAAATATGAAATGACGTAAAAAGTAAAATATTTGTTTCATACGAGTATAAATCTCATTAAAGACTAAAAAATTGAAGGTCGTAAATTCCAAGGTACTAGTTATTAACATTATTTTTAGATAAACTACGGTTACACAATAACGCTTATTTAAAATATTAATTCATTCTTATTTTATTAAACATTTCTTACCACATATCGTATCTAAAGATGCCAAATTAATCGGTTTCGTAATATCTATCGTCTCTCCTGGATTCTGTTTCACTTCTTCTTTTAAAATGTCTAACATAAGGTCGAATTCTCTGTTAAAGACTTTCATAAATTCTTCCAAGATTTTGAAATGAAACGTGGGCGTGATCATTTTCCTGCGCCTTTTCCATTTTAATCCTGCAAAGGGAATTTATTTTTGAACATCTGCTTCAAAATAAACTCGGGCGTTATTGAATATTCATGAAATACATTTAATTATTTTATATTTTCGCTTATAGGATACGGAAATTGGATGTTTACAGATATTTACCGGTTACAAAGAGACTGCAAAGATGAAAATAGCAATTTAATAAACAGAACAGGTCTTTGAGCTAAGACTATTTAAATGCGTAGGTGGTTTGAAAGTTTGTAGAATAAAAGTATATGTTTATATAATTTTAATACCCGAACTGCTTTATTTATATAAAAGCAAAAATGATGTAGATAATATTTTCCCCACATCCACATGTATGTCATCCACTTTTTGTATAAACTACAGAACGATTAAGTAGTTCTTATAATAAGTTAATTAGTAAAAACAACAATATTCAAAATATACAATATAAAAAATACATAAATGGTACTAATAAACAAGAAGAAAACCACTGAAGTAAGCTTATCAAGCTAAGTTTACTTGTGTGTGGTTATATTATTGCCTAATTATTGATGTAACAAATATGCATTTGCATATTTAGGCATAATTGGACAAAATAGCTGCATATTTTTGGTAAAAACGATGCATATATATGCGTATATTTTGGTAATATTTTGATGCATATATTCCGCCCTCTACTTATATCTTTACCCGACTCTAATTTTATCTCATTTATTTTTGTTTTAGTTTTAGATTTATTGCATTAATTGCTTTCCACAAGTTTTTAGATGAAGGCTGGTTTTTGTTTATCATTTTCTTATAAAAGTTTATCTTTGCCTGTTTTATATCTTTTGTTAAATTATTTTTGTGATGTTTATAATTTTGTTGCAATTCTTGATTATTAGGATCTCTTTTTAAAGCTGTAAATACAATAAATTTAATACATTTTAGTAAAAATATTTCATTTACCAATTACAGCTCATATTTATTAACCAATCCACTATTCTTTCTTTAGTGCCAGAATCGATAAATAATGCCCAATCCACTATATTGAGTGGGCCACCGGTAACGCCTCGGTCTGTAGGGCCAAAACTATTTGATTTTTTTAAGGTGGAAACAATTTAAAAATAATTTTAATTATACAAGGCTTTTCAAGAAAGTGATACATTTCAAAGTTAAGTTTTTTAAATGGGGCACACTGTTTTTTGTTTTATATTTAAATTTTCCTTGCTTTTCCCATCTGTATCTGTAACGTGTGGAGGGTGAATCACCCCCACGGCACATGATAGGCACCTCCTAGCTCGTGAGCCAGCCTACAGATTTAATGTAGTTGACAACGTCGCCAAGAGGTGCTTCTCTTATATCGGCCGGTGTTAGCCGATACTCGCCGAACACAAATCTTCTTATAGATGAGAGCGTCGGGCAATTGTAAAGGATATGCTCGATGGTCGCATCTTCTTGTTCGCACCCTCTGCAGAGTGCGGATTCTGACAGCCCCATGATATAAAGATGCTTCCGTACTTGGTAATGATCAGTCAGAATGCCTGTGACCAGACGCAGATTCTGTCTAGTCATAGTCAAGTATTTGTTTGCTGCAGTGTTGTCAGGATAACTTAAGAGTTCCCTGGCAACTCTGCAGTTTCTTGTTTCATCCCATCTTTCCTTGAATTTCACAAGGGAATGTTCTTTAATTAGGTCTGTCACTACCGATTTTGTCAGGCCAATATAAGGAACAGGTCCAAAAAGTATTTGGTTGGCTGCTTTCTTGGCTAGTGAATCGGCAAGACGGATACCTTTCGATGTGGCGTGACCTTTGATCCATCTTAAGGTGACCACATTGTTGATGGATACTTCGGCCAAAGCTTCATGACATTCTAGTACTAACCCTGAATAAATTCGTGGTCTGTTCAGGGTGAGTAGTGCTTGTCTGATATGTGTATAGCATGTTCCTTCCAGTGATATTATTTCTGGTTATTTCTTTTGCTGCTATGAGAATCCCCGCTAGCTCTGTTTAACCTACACTGGCACTATTGCTCACAGCCCATTTTATGTTTAGGTTTAAGAATCTTTAAGAATCGTTTAAGAATGTTATGTATTCACCCACTAACCATTTGTGGAACATTCTTGTTGGTTAGTGAGTGTAATATCTTTGAAAAGGTGGTTTTATCAAAAGCACCTTCTATGTCTATGAAAACACCCAAGGCGGACTCCTTATTGTCAAGGGATCTTTCTATCCGGCTAGCAACTAGATGAAGAGCTGAATCAGTAGATCTGCCTGGGGTGTATGCATGTTGGTTTGGGTGTAGTGGTGTTGTTATAATCACCGCATCCCTTGTGTACCTTTCGCATAGTCTTTTCAATATCTTCATGGAAAACAATGTCAGACTAATTGGTCGGTATGTTTTTGGTCAGTGTAATCCATCCTTCCAGGTTTGGGTATAAATACCACTTTTACCTCTCTCCATTTTTTGGGGATATACCTCAGAGCCAACGAGGATCTGAATATATTCACCAGCTGCGGAGTTCTTCCAGACCCCACTGAAGTAGGGCTGGATAAATACCGTCAGGTCCTGGCGATTTAAGTGGAGAGAAGCTGGATATTGCCCATCTAATTTTTTCATCGTCTACAATGTGTTTGGCAGTTTGCCAATCATAGACAGATGGATTGTATTCTTCCTCTGTCCAGTCGGCCACGTCTGTGATGACCGAGTCAGGAAAGTGTGTTGACAGCAGAAGTTTGATGCTATCTTCGAGGTTGGCAGGTTGTAGGTTTGAGGTTGCTTTTCCCATTATAACAATACAAAATAGTACGATTTCAGTGATCTGTTAACTACAAAAAAAAACAATTAAAGAACAATATTTTTGCTTTGAACGGTTTTGGATATTAGTAAAAAATTTTACGCCGATGCACAACTTTTTCAGTTCAAAACAAATCTGTACAGAGTAAATCAAAACTCAAATACCGTAGAATGGGTTGACTTGAAATAAAATATAGTGAAAATTTTGAAGTCGTGACAACACCGCATTGTGAACGATGGAAGCTAAACTAGTCTTTCAGTCTCATTCTATAGTTTGTCAGCGAGACACTGTGGTAAATAACAAGTGCGTGATAGTCATAGTGTACAGTGGGCAACACTTTGATATCAGGTAAACAAATTACGTAATTTTATACCCTGCATACTTCTGTCTATGCAATCAATTGTATAATCACGAGCATGCCCTAGTATTTTTTTCTGGCCTGGTACAAGATATTTGTTAATGTTTTGGACCAAAAAATAATTTTTAAAACCTATTTTTTTTACTTTTAGGTGTGACTTGAAATAATGCCTAAAAACTATAAGAGGCACTTAGGCGCTAGAAATTATCGGAATTATACATTGGAGTCACTGCAGCAGGCTGTTCGGGACTACCAGAAGCATCAAGGGAGTCTCGACGCTATTGGCGAAAAATATGGAATTCCAGCTGCCACTTTGTATCGTAAGGAATACCATTAACACCAAAAATCACCAGGTGGTCAATTTATATTATCGACTGTTGATGAAAGTGCAATTGTAAATCTATTGCATTAGCTGCTGACTGGGGATTCCCATTGGAATGTAACGACATAAGAGACTTAGTTAAAAGTTATTTAAATATTACACAATGTTCAGCCAAAAACGATCGTATATTACGACGAAACAAATTTCACGGATGACCCAGTACGTGTGAAAGTTGTCATTTAACGAAGCAGTAAAAGGGCTGAAAAAATGGTAGATTCGTCAAAGGCAACAACATATGTTATGTTTAGTATTCCCGCTTCAGGAAAATGCTCCTTATATACGTTGTGTATAAGACTGATCACGTCTGGTCAAGTTGTATGGAAAACGGTTCACCTAAAGCCCGATACAACAGAAGCAAGTCACGCTGGTTTGATACCAACTTGTTTGAAGAATAGTTTGTGACAGTAGCTGCATTTATCCTGTGTGTAGAGAGAAAATCTTGAATAAACTTCCAAAAGAAGTTACTTCAGAAGGGGAAGCAGAAACTAGCGCTTCAGATGCAGTGAACGAGCTTTTCCAGCAGGCCCGTTATGGAACATGCGCAACTCCAAAGGATAAAAGAAAAAAATGGATATACAGCCAGCGAAAAGTATTACACTTGAAGATATTGCTCCTAATCCACAAAAATCTGACGATGCAACTAAGAAGGACAATAGCACGAAGTCTGGTCCTTTAAAACCTACAAAACTAAAAACCAAGTAAAAACTATAGTTCTTTCAGAATCTGAAACAGAAGAAGAAGAAGAAGAAGAAGAAGAAGAAGAAGAAGAAGAAGAAGAAGAAGAAGAAGAAGAAGAAGAAGAAGAAGAAGAAGAAGAAGAAGAAGAAGAAGAAGAAGAAGAAGAAGAAGAAGAAGAAGAAGAAGAAGAAGAAGAAGAAGAAGAAGAAGAAGAAGAAGAAGAAGAAGAAGAAGAAGAAGAAGAAGAAGAAGAAGAAGAAGAAGAAGAAGAAGAAGAAGAAGAAGAAGAAGAAGAAGAAGAAGAAGAAGAAGAAGAAGAAGAAGAAGAAGAAGAAGAAGAAGAAGAAGAAGAAGAAGAAGAAGAAGAAGAAGAAGAAGAAGAAGAAGAAGAAGAAGAAGAAGAAGAAGAAGAAGAAGAAGAAGAAGAAGAAGAAGAAGAAGAAGAAGAAGAAGAAGAAGAAGAAGAAGAAGAAGAAGAAGAAGAAGAGAAGAAGAAAAGAAGAAGAAGAAGAAGAAGAAGAAGAAGAAGAAGAAGAAGAAGAAGAAGAAGAAGCAGATTGGGACGAATTTGTGAGGAGAAAGCGTCCCAGGTCAAGATGATTCAGATGATGAATCGGTTTTATTTAAAAGTGACAAGGAGAATAGTCCTCTTCCAGATAACACCACTATAGCCATTGCTGGATTAGAAGCTGAAAATAAAGAAACCAAAATTATAAGGAAACTTCAGTCTGCAACAATATTAAGAAGAGGGTCATTGAACTTCCCAGGACTTCAGTTATAGCTGTCTAGTTACCGTACTTATCTCTCTAATAGCGCTTCGATTCCACTGCCCTGCCTGCGTGGAGTGCACATAGAAGATAAGCGATATATAGATACCGGTTACATTTTAGATTGAAAAGTAACTGGTACTGACATATCTCCCTCCTTTCGTATGCACTCAGTGCAAGCCATGCACTAGATTCGCACGCTATAAGTTATACCTTACTTACCTCTCTAATGAATTTTTGTTTATTTAAAGTGTGTAGTTTTTTATCTTTTTTTATTTTGCCAAGAATACAATGTGTTTTTGCAATAAATCGCCTTTAAAGAAAATATTTGTTTTAAAACCCAGTGTTTTTTTATGAAAATTATGATTTCTATCTATATTATAATTAATTTACATTTCATGTCACTACCTAGACCTTCCTACTTTAATTAATTGTTGATTTTTTTTTGAAAACTACTCTATATAGAAACGGTTTTAATGTATCATTCTGTTCTTTAGAGTCGAAAGAGTTGGTGACTATTTTTAGCTTGGTTGAAAGTTGTATAGACTGGTTACCACCACCACCACCACCACCACTTAGAGAAAAAAATCAAAATTCATTATTTTTATTACCTGTGAATGAAAAAGAAATAATAACAATAATTAAATCACTAAAACTTAAAAAATCAGAAGTACTTAGAAAAACCTCAAACATAATATCAAAACCTATAAGTCATATCAGAAATAGAATTTTTATTACAAGTATAGTACCTCAAGAATTTAAAATAATAGCGGTTATTACGCCGGTACATAAAAAAGGCGATACCAAAAAATTAAACAGCTATAGACCAATCTCACTCATAACATCTCTCGCTAAAATATTTGAAAAAGCCTTAAAAAATAGAGTTGTTAAATTTTTAGTAAATAATAAGGTTATTTCTGAAAAACAATTCGGATTTAAAGAAGGTTAATCAACTAATGATGCCATAGAAGAACTTGTAGATGACATCTTAACGTTTTTAGAGAAAAGTTACCCAACTTTATGTGTATTCTTGGACCTTGCTAAGGCCTTCGTTACTGTATGTCATTCGGAGATATTACAGGCCTTGGAGGATGCAGGAATACGTGGAGTACCCAATGAATTATTTCGAAACTATTTATCAGAAAGCTTACAAGTAGTAAAAATTGATAATATCACAAGTCTAGAACAAACTTTTAGTTACGGTTTACCTCAAGAAACTGTCCTGGTTTCTAGGGGAAAAATTATCAGCTTTGCAGATGACACTGCTGTCCTATATACTGATAAAAGATGGAACGATTTAAAAATTAAGGCCGAAATTGATTTAGAACTGATATTTGGTCATCTGTCACTGACTATAAATTATGAAAAAACATTTTTTGACATTTTCTAATATTATAAGATGCCTACCAGAATATAGAACAATAACGATACACAACTCCTCACAAAATAATATTATAAACTCAAAAGAAAATTATAAATATTTAGGAGTGACCATAGATTCGCATTTAAAATGGAATATTCACGTGAATATACTAACTAAAACTCTAAGATAGTTATTATACCGTTTTAAATACTTAAAAAATATTTAAGATTTACAATACTTAAAATTTTATATGACGCTCTAGTTGAATTAAGGTTAAGGTATGTCATAATGAGTTGGGGAGGTACAACATATTGTCATCTTTTATAGCGGATTCGACTCAAATGCTCTTGCTCGATGACAAAGCGCTTTTAGTTCTGAATTGATTTTGGGCAGCATTTTTATAATTCAACTTTATATCTAGCACACAGAAAGCACGAGCTAGAGTTCGACATTAGTGTAGCGCATATTTATCGTTATTCGACTGGCACAGTTAGCACTTGACATTTCAGATTTCTAACAAATTTTTAACGATATTTGTTTATAGTTGCCAAACCAAAAATTAAATCTCTATTAATTTCAAAGATTTTCCATTATCACTAATAATAAAGACAAAGATGGTAATATATTTAAAAATATGAAATAATTCCTAACCTCCAAAATGACACTGGCACTGAAAAAAAGTACAGTTCCAAAAAATTCGAACTTTGAGCAAGAGCGCCTGCCAGTCGAACAAAAATTTCACTATGCTTTAGTACCGAGCAATTTCAGTCGAATGCAATAATTGACTTTTAATTAATTAGGTTCTGTCAGTCGAACAAACACCACTTAAAAAAGTCGAACTAAATGCGCATTAATGCAGCCAGTCGAATCCGCTATTAAACAACTTGATGTACTACAAAAAAGAATTTTGAAAATAATTTATAACAAGAAAATTACTTACCCATCTAATAAATTATTTTTAGAAACCGAAATGCTAGATATTAGGCAAATGTTTCTATATCAAATTATTCAATTTATTTATAAAAATAAAAAATTGTTTAAAAAGTTAATCATAACTATCCCACATGGTACAAAGAAAATAATAATATAATATAAAATTAAGCCGGTTTAAAAAATTATTAGCTTACGATGTCATACTCATCTGTCACGGAAAATTTATAATGATCTGCCTGAAGTTTATATAATATATCTAGACAAAATAAACTCTGCAAATATGATAAAAAATACATTATTAATTTAGGTAGGCTTGAAACAAGAAAATTAATTGAAAATAACACCTAAAGAAATTCTTCTCTTCGCTGCCCCCTTCCCACCCAAAACAATCTGTTGAATAATTCTATATTATTGTTATTATTGTGTTCAAATCTGTTGTTTTTTTTTCTTTTCCTTAATATATTTTTCTTTTTTAATGCATTTATTTCAATAAATATTATTTAATGTACAATCTTAGAATAATTATTATTAATGTTAAATTTATTTTTATGCGTTTTAAGTTTAATATACAAATGGGGGTCCATGCACAGCCTATGTTGGTTTCAATGGACCTAGATCGATCATAATTTGTTTATTTATAATATATATGTTTGATATGATATGATTGTCCAAAAGCTAAATAAACATTATTATTATTATATTATTATTAATTTTTGATCGATTATTGAATTTTATTGGACATTTTTGGACACTATACATTTGTCGTCATTACAAGAACGAATAAATTGACTGTTTTAAAGGTTTGCAAGATTTGCATAGTTATTTTGACATTTGAAAGCTGCAAGATATTTTACTCACCAGTACTTACTAACAGACCATCTCCCAACCAAGGTTTAAATAAGTTGTATCCATCTGATTTGCTCAAATGCACATTCGACGTTAGAAGCTCTTCCAAATATTCCGGATTGGCAATCATTAAATGAAGTCTCGGTCCCAGCCATAGTTTATAAAATGTTCCATATTTAAGATGCAGTTTCATGAAAGAATGTAATAATTCTGTTAAAAATTTAGAATAGAATTTATCTTAAAGAAATATAAAGAGATGTAAAACAAGGATGAGTGTTCCCTTGGTAGATAGGCACAAATCGTGAGCCCAAGGGCTAATATTATGTTGATTGTATTACTTACCAACAGTAGTTTTTCCAACTTCATTTGCATTTCCAATAATTGGTAATGGTTTAGGCCCCGGCACATTTTTCAAACTACTATATTTGAATAAGGCAAAATACCAATTGAAAAGAATAGTCACAAATACTATCAATACAGCTAGGAGAGCGCTAAACAACCACAACATTATGCACAACTATTAATGTTTCACAGAATTATTTTTATTTTAAACACACTTCGGCTATAATTACTTAAGATAACTTATCATATTTTATAAATTAAATTTTTCTTTAGCATCACTGAACCGTTTAAATATAATAATATTATTATTGAAATGAATATCTTTTTATACCGCGTTTTTGAATTTTTAATGAAATGTTTACTTTCGTTTCTCAAACAAGACTAACAACATTTTACGATTATTGTTAATAAATAAGGTGACTTATAGTTGCTTAATGTTACGCAATAGTTATGTTAGTATGGATTTGCGTTTGAATTTGATTATAAATTAATTGCTTACTCTGTCAAGACGCCAAATAGTAAAGTTTTATCTAAATTACATTATAATGGGTATATCTAATTTGCGGATTGGAATTTGACCGCTGCCAGGTACTAAACTAGTAATAGTTAGGAGTTAATATTTCTGACAAGTAATATACATCCCAATACCTTTTTGCCAGGTGGAACCATTTTTCCCCCCAATGCCTCCAAGGGGTACTTTATTCTTGTCAATTTTGACAAAATCAGTGCAGGTACTAGAAAAAACGCGGTACAAGGCTGAGACTTCGTACACGTAATACTTATCCCAATACCCTTTTTCCAGGTGAAACCATTGACCCCCCATCGCCTTCAGCCTCCAAGGGGTACTTTACTCTTGTCAATTTTGACAAAATTAGTGCCAGGTACTAGAAAAAACACGCTAGATTACTTAAACTTCGGACACATAATTCCTATCCCAATACCTTTTTGCCAGGTGAAACCATTTTTCCCCATCGGCTCCAAGGGGTACTTTACTCTTGTCAATTTTGACAAAATTAGTGTCAGGAACTATAAAAAAACACGCTAGATTGCTTAAACTTCGCACACATAATTCTTATACCAATACCTTTTTGCCAAGTTTAAGCAATCTAGCGTGTGTTTTCTAGTACCTGGCACTAATTATCTCAAAATTGACCAGAGTAAAGTACCCCTTGGAGGCGATGGGGGGAAAAATGGTTTCACCTAGCAAAAAGGTATTGGGATAAGAATTATATTTGCGAAGTTTAGGCAATCTAGCGTATTTTTTATAGTACCTGGCACTAATTTTGTCATAATTGACAAGAGTAAAGTACCCCTTGGAACCGACGGGGTTAAAAATGGTTCCACTTGGCAAAAAGGTATTGGGATAAGAATTATGTGTGCGAAGGTAAGGCAATCTAGCGTGCTTTTTATAGTACCTTGCACTTATTTTGTCAAAAGTGGCAAGAGTATAGTACCCCTTGGAGGCGATGGGGGGAAAAATGGTTTCACCTGGCAAAAAGTTATTGGGATAATTATATGTGCGAAGTTTAAGCAATCTAGCGTATTTTTTTATAATACCTGGAACTAATTTTGTAAAAACTTACAAGAGCTGATGGGGGAAAAATGGTTTCACCTGGCAAAAAGGTATTGGGATTAGAATTATATGTGCAAAGTTTAAGCAATCTAGCCTGTTTTTTATAGTAACTGTCACTATTTTGTCAAAATTGACAAGAGTAAAGTACCCTTTGGAGATAATAGGGGGGAAAATGGTTTCACCTGGCAAAAAGGTATTGGAACAATAGTTACGTGTGCAAAGTTTAAGCAATCTAGCGTGTTTTTTCTAGTACCTGGCACTAATTTTGTCAAAATTGACAAGAGTAAAGTACTCCTTGGAGGATATTCTTTATTATCAACTGTAAACTAATTTACCAATAGCCTTATTTTTATTTAATACCTGTAGTGATTCAAATTACCATAACATCTGATATTTTTGAAAATAATTAATTATACAAACAAGGCAACAAAAAAATGTCATTAAAATAAAAGATTTCTGGTTTGTATGCAACAAACAATCTTGGGTAGAGGGTAACACGATTATTAATTATAGGCAAACATAACTTTATATAGGTAAACAACATAACAATCGTTAAATTGACATACATCCTTCCAATTTATTAAAGTTGCAGTTCTTAATTAAACACATTTTTTTAAATGATCACAAATAATAAAATTATCTTAATTTTATTAAAACCTTTTTATAATGATGGAAAACGAAATGACAGTTTGTTTTATTTGGTACAGTTTTGCCAGAATATGTTTTTGTTATGTACCAGATTTGCCTAAAAAATGTACCAGATTTCTTAAACGTATCAGATTTTTCAAATTCTATTTGCAGTGACATCTAATTCATTAAAGGCAAAAAAGAGGGTCTTTATTGGTAACGAACCACAACAAGGAACACAATATACAGAGTGGCCCAAAAGTCTGGAAACGGCCAATTATCTCGTAAATTGCTAGTCCTAATTGTACAAAATTTGGGGTACACCTATTTTGGGATACGGTAATTCCAGATTTGATATTTGCAATGTTGCCAGATTTGCCGTTTCTCTTAAATTATTAGTCACTTTGGTTTTTCAAATTCATCAGCCTGTATATTCAGTCATTATTTGAATTTCCTATTCAATACGAGTTCAATCATATGTAAAACTGATGATTTTATGTAGTCTGGAAGGTCTTAAATAAATAAAATATGTCTGGCAACGCCTAATTGTCTCAATAAATTTAATACAAACTATTTTCAACTACATTAAAACGTAACAATTGAAAGAATATAACATTTTTAACATAATGGTTACTTTATCAAGTGTTCAAAATGAGCTACATTTGTGAGTTGACAGTACCCTAATCGATGGTAGAATGGGTCTACCACATTTCTACATGATTGTTTTATTTACTTAAGACCTTCCAGAGTACATAAAATTATAAGTGTTACATATGGTTAAACTCGTATTGAATAGAAGATTCCAATAATGACTGAATATACAGGGTGATAAATTTAAAAAACCAAAGTGACTAATAATATAAGAGGAACGGCAAATCTGGCAACATTGAAAATATCAAATCTGGAATCTCCGTATCCCAAAATAGGCGTATCCCAAATTTTGTACAATTAGGATTAGCAATTTACGAGATAATTGGCCGTTTCCAGACTTCTGGGCCACTCCGGTTATATTTTACACGTGAACACTGATGAACGCAGAATGTACTACATCTAGTACAATTGTGAATTGTACTAGACTGGCAGCAATGGTTTGGCAACCTTGTTTGTGAGCGGCGCGCTAATTAATGTATTCTTTGTCAATTTGAAGGATCTGTTGGCGTGTTTTCTTCTTTTTTTAGCTATATGCATTCATAATATCGTCTCACTCGTGTTAGGCTCACTCATCATAATGCGCCACAGATACAGTATACTTGGGTATACTGTGCCATAGAGATGCGATCAGCCAGATGACAATGATGTACCAAAAAATAAAGATTAAGACGTATGAAAATAAAAATATTAAAATTAAATTTATATTTTTATGTTATTTATGTAATTTTAAAATAATGTGTTTTTATGAAATTTAACTGGGTGTTTCACATTAAGAATATTTTTTGTTAATAAGGTTAATTCGTACTTACGTTTCTATTCACATGCGCAAGACTGACCGAATTTCGTACCACTTACCACTTCACCTGTATTTTTCCACCATGACCAAAATAAAATAAATAATTAAATTTTATTAGAAAAGGGTTACCTTTTCTTATATTTTAAATTAATTTGACATAAGCCTACTTTTCGAAGAGAAAAAAGCTTTAGTACTTATATGCCGGTAATTATGCATGGTTTAATCATTTAAATATTCACGGAAAATACTGTTCGATAATTTAAAATATTAGGAAATCAATTACCCAATGGTTATTTAACGAACAAGTGTATTAATAAAGTCGATTAACAATCGAGCAAATTTACCGCGCGAGCAGAATAAACGCGTTAATGTTCGAGATTGTTAATCGCAATTTTAATTCACGAGTTCGTTACAGAACTTTTTCGTCGACTGTAGTTTTCAAAAATAAAGCTATCTTACTTGTTTGTATAATAAAGCTGCGTTCTTACAAAATACGCAAAAATCAATGACGGATTTTTAAATTAAAACACTGTAGCAGATCAATCGTTTCAAACGCCACTTATCGGCAACACACAATACACAGCAGGCCCAACCCAGTCAAGAACTCCATCCCGCATTCATAGATAAAGACACCAATGAAATCTTTCACATGCAAATCAAATCAAATAATTTATCTATAATTTCTTTTTACAAATTAGAAGGTCATGTTTTAACAGCGTAATCTACATCTTAAAATAGGAGTAAAAGTTTACATAAACATAGGTCCGAAAACGTCTTTGTTTCCGAGATACAGGGTGCTAAAAGTGAAGTCTTGATGACACATCTTTGTATATATTATGACACATCTTTGTATATATTTTCTAAACTTTTAAAGATAACTAAGTGAAATTTGGTACAAATGCTAAACTTTTTAAGCTTTATTTAATGGACTAAACGCCAGTTTGTGATCATTTTCATAGGTGGGTAAATTAGGGAAGGGGCTTAGGGTTAAATTGTCCTAAGTTTTTTTGGACTACAAAATTTGGAAAACCAATATTTTCTTTATAAAAAAGCATTTGAAAATTTCATGACAATTTATCTTATGCGAAAGTGTAAAAAATAATTAGTAGGCCTGTGGAATCAGAAATTATATATATATTTTTTAACTTTGGAAAACCAGGGACTAAAAAATTTTTATAAAATATTTACAAAAATGTGCCATCAGGACTTTACTTGTAACACCCTGTATCTCGAAAACGAAACGTTTTCGGACCTATGATTACATGAACTTTTACTTCTATTTTAAGATGTAGATTACGCTGTTAAAATATGATCGTCTAATTTCGGGACACCCTATATATATACACATTAGCACAAAATTGTTCATTTAATCCCTATTGATTCTTGAATTCTATTGGTCTCCTGAATACTAAACCAATGTTTTGACTGTTGCGAGAGCGGTAGTTGACTTGGTTGTATGTAGTTTTGTCTGATTTTAATTTTGACAGTGTTTTCCCTAAAAAACTTTCGCAAAAAACAGGGTTGTCCTTGTGGCTTGCACATGCACTCAACCGCTTGCTTGGGGGCTTGGACATGTATTATTATCCAATTCAATTTACATTTAGTATTCATTGTAATTTCTTACGTCTTGCGTTTATAGTTTACATACACATGATGTTAATTTGGAATATTTTTATGAATTTACTTATTGTAGCAGACAATTTTTTCTATTATAATTTATAGATGAATTAAATATCATCTCTGCAATACTTTAATATTTTTAGTATTATTTGACATTAAGAATGGGACACAAAACAACAGAATAACTGAAGACTAAAGATGCCTTGCTGATTAAAAAAGAGTTGGTATCAAAACAATCAGTTAAATAAACTTTGACAGTTGCGTACGGCATGGATAAGTTACACTTTCATCCCCTCTAAATTTTACGCCACTGTCTAAAAACTTATTTGGACTATATTTTTACATTTTTTTATGTTTCTTAAATAAATCATGTACTCTTGTTGGACACTCATTTTTCAAGATATTCATCATAAGTGGATTTTCTTCATTTTAATTTATTTTTTAAATTTCTAATTTAGGATTTTTTATAAATTCCGAGCAAGGGTACATAATTTATAAAAAAATAAAATTCAAAATTATATTCCAAATAAGTATTTGGAGAGTGACGTAAAAAATTAAGGACATGAAAGTGTAACGTACGCCGGTGGCTAAGTTTATTTAACTGATTTTCTTGCTGACACCAAAAACGTTTACACGAGTATATTATTTATTTAAAAAACATCAATAATTGTAAAAGTAGGTATAGTCCAAATAGGTTTTTGGACAGTGGCTTAAAATTTAGAGGACATGAAGGTGTTATTTATCTATGCTGTACGCCACTGGCAAAGTTTATTTAATTTATTGTTTTGCTAGTGCGCGTATCTTTATGACACCAACATTTTTTACTGAATTTAGTAAAATTATACAGGGAAATGAAAAAATTATAGCCTGTAATAATTTTTGAATTTTCAGCTTTAACACCCTTTATTTTATAAACTGGTAATATTTTATGTAATGATTTATCGTTTAAATGTCTTTTATTTATTCAAAGAATCTGTGCCCCATTCTTAATGAGACCCTGTATATATTTGTGATATACTTAATCCCTCCTAATTCCTTTGAATTGAATGTAAAGAAACCTAATAGATACTCTTATTTCTAATAATGCCAAAAATACATGTTCCTTTATGTTTTTATGTTGCAAAATTAATGTTGTTTAATTATTTTTGATGCTTTTAAATAAACAAAAATAATTTCAAACTATTTTATAATTGGCTCAAATCTATTATATGGACTCACAGTCCGCCGCCATCACCGGATCACAAAAATTTCACGCCAGTTCCGGAAGGTTAACTATAAATGGTATGGAAGAAGGACCTCTCATCCACGATCTATTTTTTTGGGAAAAACTTAATGACATTTTTAAAAATTGGCTATTTTCTTTTGTTTTCGACTTGATTTTTTCAAATTATTATTATGTGGTATTATCTCGCTTATCTATAAAAGTGGAAGAAAATAATTTTTACCTTCTTCAGGTACTTTTTTGATAAGAATCCAGTGGCGTAATCAATTATTTTTAAAAACATTTCAAATTCGAGTAATAGCATAAAGTTGTATTTTTTATATGGAAGGGGTAGTTGACTGTGGCATACAAAAAAAGATAAACATTTTCCCATTCTAACGATCTATATAATGTGGGGTCAGTTTATTTGTTTTCATTGTTATTTTGCATTATTTTCAAAATAATCTATATTACTCTGTTTTTTTTTTCTAGTAGGCTGTGTCATTCGGAATATTTCTGACAGAAGTATCGGCATTTTTGCAACACTGACCATTTAATAACGTTTAATTGTTTATAATATCATTTTAAAAGTGCAAAATGGCCTATGAAAATAACGAAAAGTTTGACATGTTAGAGTGTTTTATTCAAAATATAATAATTCTGTAGTTGTGAGTGTAGTTGTGAATTATATTTTAATCGTTACCCGAAACAAAGATAACATAATAATCCTATTTTCAAAGGATCAAAAGAAAATATCAAAAATTATGGGACTTTTAAGAAACCAAGAATACAGAATTATAATATTGGAGATGCTGAGGAAGTTGCCACCAATGTTATTGGAATGGTAACTGCAAATCCTTTGATATCAAGTCGTCAAATTGAAGCCGAGTCTAGGATATCACGGAAACGAGCATTACCAGTTTTAAAAAAATACAAATTTAGACCATTTAAAATAAGAAAACAACAACTAACATCTCCAACCAACCGATCCCGAACGACATCCTAATTTTTGCAATTGGTACCTTGAAAACATAGACCGGTATCCATCATTCTTTACAAAAATTTTATGGACAGATGAATCTTACATAAGCAGTTCCGAAAGTTTTAATCGACATAACGAACATTGGTGGTACGACGTTAACCCCCATCATAACTTTGATGTTCAAAATCAGAGATGTTTCGGTTTTAGGCTTTGGTGTGCCCTATTGGGCAATGGCATTTTAGCCTATCAAATTTATGTTTGAAAATTTACAAATTTTAAACAAATACATATTCGATGGTTTTTTGGACAACTTAACGCTGAATGCTAAATCTTCATTTTAGAGACAAATAGATAGGGAGAAAATGACCGGTAAGGTGACCACCACGTTCACCAGATTTAACGCCCCTAGATTTCTTTTTTTGGAGATATATTAAAGACAATTTATACAAAAATACTTCTAATAATAATGACGAACTAATGCAAAATTTTATAAAGTGTTCATTCCATCTCCTATATTCATATTTATAACGCAATTTGGAATGTTTTCAAACGATGTCGTTCATGTCGTTGGAATAATGGACATCATCATAAAGTTGGCAATAATGTTTAAAATAATCATGACTAATTTTCAAACTATTGAAAGTGCAATATGGAGGATATTTAAGTAATGTTATGTGATGCATTGAGTTAGTAATTAAATTTACTTTCAAATAAGGTGTCACACTTTATAATACGTACAGTTTATCCCGATAGAGGGCGGTACAATTAAAAGTATCGAAATAAACAGCCATATTTATAAATTTCCCATAAAATTACCTTTTTAATGATGTGCCATACATAGTAGGTACATTACCTATTAAAAATTAAGGTGTTGGCGAAGTGCAATTGAGGGGGTTGACACATGACAGATGTCTGTATTGTAAAAATGTTTTTAATTTGGAATAGAAATCGACCTGTTTTAGCATTTCTTTAAAATCCAATGATTAATGCTAAAAAACAGCATCAAACAGTTTTGAGTGACCCACTCTGTATATCAAAAATAGCTAAATTTAGACGTAGTAGTTTTTTATCCCGCTAGAGGGCGATAAAATTTAAGTAACGCAATATACAGAAATATTTCTGAATCCCCCATTAAATTACCTTTTCAATGATGGTACATTACCTATTTAAAATTAAGATGTTGGAGAAGTGAAAGTGAGGGGGTTGACACATGACAGATGTATGTATTGCAAAAATGTTTTTAATTTGGAATAAAAATCGACCTGTTTTAGCATTTTCTTAAAATGCAATGATTAATGCTGAAAAACAGGATGAAACTGTTTTGAGTAACCCACTCTGTATATTAAAAGTGGCTAGATTTATCGAATTAGTTCATAAAACAAAATCTGCTTAAAAATAAATTTTTTGCAAGATGCGCTACACAAGAAAGATCCTCCAATCGAAAAAAAAAAATATTGAGCGCAGTGCCATCTAAATTTTGACCTATTTAAAATCAATTTATATCTAGAACTGAAGCTCTCTTAGTGCTCTGTGAACTTGGCTTTTACAGAATTAAAATATCTCTATTACTTACCAAAATATCCGGCCTAGGAGTTTTTATTGGTACACCCTGTATATGTATAAAACAAAGCTTAATATTCGCACATATATGGTACACTAACAAAATGCTAGTGTTGGCCGGAGTTTGGTGATGTAAAGCCTGGTTAGGGTTTCCCAGGGGATCAGGAATGTTCACCCCCTCTGAGGGCTTGGATTCATTGATATCCGTATATTTGATGGTGTTATCATCCGCATCTATGTAGTTTTCGGATTTGTCATCACTTGCACTTCTGCTGAGGATTGGAGTGTTAATACTTGCGTTATCTAGGGTTTTTGGGAGATTCTCTGTACTTTTTCGCAGCTTCTCCATACTTTTTCGGAGATTCTCGAAACATTTTTGTAGATTCTCCATACTTTCTTTAGATATACTATCTCGTTGTTGTTTTGAGCCTGTTTCAGTGGATGTACTGTTGGGATCAAGCCTAGGGTTATTGGGAGGGGCATTTCCGGGTACGTTATCGTCGTTAGGAAGATTTATTTCGTTATTTCTGATGGTCGTATCCATGCTTTTCTATGAACTAGAGGATTCATTTAAATCACCGTAAACTTCATCTAAGAGTGTTGGAGGGTCATTTAGAGGTCGTTTCGGGGAATTTTTAAACAGGGATTCCCCTGTACTGGGCGGCTGACCCCTGTGTTAGTGTTTACGGTGGTTAGACTCAATATAGTGGCTTTACTCAAGTTTAAATTGGTTTGTCTTTTGGTTTTGGCCTTTAAATGCTCAGGAGTCTTTATAATTGATATACTTCTTAGCTCTTTAGTGCGTCTCCATCGATTTCGTTGGCGTTTTGAATAGACTGTGGGGTATTCAGTGAGATTGGGATTGCTTGCCCCAGAGGGCTCCATGAAGCGAGAACTCCTGGCTGACTCGAACGTAAAATGATTGATACGTGTTAATGAATATAGGTTAATAACCTGGTGTCGCGAATCCAAACTACGAGGAGCGGTACAAAATTCGGCAAACCTTCCTACCCTTGACAAGTCCAAAGGGTAAACTGGGAAATGACTAGCATTTAACCATCTATCATGTCATTGCGGTGTGGTTGATGACAGAGTGAATAAGTATTGCATACCCAGGATTGAATACGAACCAAGGTGATAGCAAGAGGAGTTTGAAAAGGGTAAAAACCCATTTGGTTTAGTAGATATTCGTATTTAAATACATTAATTAACTACCCTCTAAATATTTTACAAAACTAAATATAATTTTAGACACAACTGGAGAAAATTATACACATTTCATATAGGTATAAAAACATTAATTTACTCACCAATACAATTTCTTGGACCAGCACTAAAAGGAACATATGTAAAAGTTGAAGGTTGGGGATTATCGGGATTGAATCGTTCAGGATCAAATTTTTCAGGTTCGGAATAGTAGTCCTCATGATGGTGCAGCCAGTAGAGTAGCATTGTTATTGCTGTTCCTTTGGGGTAGATTATGTCGCCTGAAATGTATATAAATTTTGAAAAATCGTAAATTTACCCAGATCTTGTCAAACTAAAGAAATAATAAAAACTTGACACGTGCCTAATAGATTAAAATTTGGGAACATAGTAGTTACAAATTATCTAGTACTTGCAGACTTTTGTTTAGAAGCAAATTTATACAACGCCGTTCATTTTATCTAAATAAAAGGTTATTACTGTTTTAATTAAAACTTAACAGAAAATTTAAAAAAATTGTTTCACTGGCGAAAAAATAATAGGGGGATAAAAGTTGCCAGTAACCCTGCTACTGGCTAATTTTTCAAAAGTTAGTTTATCTCATCATTAGGTGATTTCGGGCTAAGCACTCTTTTCACTCTATTCACTCCTAAAGTACCTAAAGCTTTAGGGAACGGATGGAGTTAAGTTCCTTTTTGACAGTTCGGAGATCATGGACTAGAGTATGGATCGGGCATGCGTAGAAGTTAATTTAAATCGATAATAAGATAATTGTGACTAAATTTTTATTAGAGAGTTGAAGTGTTTCCAGTACGTTAACTTAAACGTGAACATTAACGCACCAAAATAATGTTTAATAACTTATACGTAAAGATAACAGCATAGCATTTTCGACGAGCACTGAGACTTTTTATTCCATGATTCACAAGTAATAATTCTTGTGCAGTACTTCTGGTAGGATATATTTCATCATTTGCGAATGACAAGTACTTTAAAAAGCGTCTTTGGACATATTCAACATTATCAATGTGTACCGAGTAATAGGGAGATCAAACTATAGATGCATACTCTAAATTAGAACGGATTATATAAAGTTTTTAATGTTGAATTATGTTAAAAATCTATGCCATTACGTATTACAAAGCCATATACCTTTATAATACAGGGTGTCCCAATTAAAAGTAGCCCGTTTCCAGAGCTTATAACTTTTTACGGTGAATTTAAAAGAGAAGAGTTTTAAAAAACACCCTGTATAGGTATTACATAATTTCTGTTTTACTGAATCAAAACTTATTGCAAAATAACACATAGCAAAAACCGCTCGTTTCTACGATTAGGTGTTTAAAAGTTATAAGCTCTGGAAATGGGCTACTTTTCATTGGGACACCCTGTATTTTCTAAATGAGCTATGAAATTAAGTTGTTTATCAAACGTCACTCCTAAATCATTTAATGTTATTGATCTTGTTAAAATTACGTCATTAATGGAATATGGATGTATTGTAGGACAGAATTACAACGTATAAGACATGGCATTGCATTTATCTGGATTAAGAGGTAATTTGTTATCAGTGCACCATTGTACTACACTATTTAGGGTATTAGTTAACCGAACACAGTCGTCAACATTTGTTATTTTACAGAATAACTTCATGTCGTCTGCATATAAAAGATAGTTGACCTGGATAATATTTTTAATATCATTAATAAACATGTTAAATGAAAGAGGCCCCAAGTTGCTCCCTTGGGGGAACCTTAATTTAAATCCCGAAAATGCCACATATTGTCTTCTATTGGTTAAGTACGACTGGAATAGTAAAACTAAAGAAGGTGAGAGTCCGTAAGAAGAAAGTTTATTAATCAGAACACAGTGATCGAGCCGATCGAAGGCTTTTGAAAAGTCTGTATATATTGTTGCGGTTTGAACGGTGTTTATTTAATTTAATTATAATAAAACAAAAGATTGCATGAAATTCTACTTCGACTCAGCAGTAAAAAAAAAGAAAATATTAACGTATCACTCACTAAGTTGTTTCCCTACTGATCTTTTTCTGGGCTTCGTGCTTGCACAAAATCAAAGCCAACACTTTTGTGCTCCGCACGTCTTGCTCTCCGCGAAGAACAGTGTTTTGTTGATGTCTCAGCAAAAGACGAGAGCTGCGGTACGGCTTTTTGTAATAATATATTATGACTTAATAATATTATTATTGTAATTCCTAGTTAGATAATTATTGACATTATTGCAGTACTATAACATGCCCCCCTCCGAGAAGAGCGATACTTGTTTTATTTTCTTTCCGTTGTCCACTAGTCGGAGTATATTTTATTGATAAAGTACACCCAAAACATATCGATCATAAAATCGCGTTATACTTAAACCTAAAACATACAGAAAACCAATACCGACAAAAAGGTTTCGAAAGTGTCCTATTTTTTTTTGCAAAATCCGCACTCCACTTTTAGTTTGTCCTGAGACTCTTCTTTGAGTTCTGAACGTCATAGGCTGAGTTTTAGCGTCCGATAAGTATTAGGTTTCTAATTTCTAAGTATCGAATAACTAACGTACTTGAAAACTTTGATAATATCGGAAAATGAGTATGACGGGTATGGTTAGATAGCCTTATGCTTGAGGTGAAATGCTTACATATAAGCTATATAGTTAGCTGTATAGTTTTACGGATAAAAATGGTGCCTACGGCTGGTTAGTAGAAATAAGTGTTGAAAATGTTTAACTAAAATGGATCAAGCAAAGGGACAAATTACTAAATGACGTGACAAGTTTAACAGTTCAGTAACAAGTTACCGCCTAATTGTCCGTCTCTGACAAGTAGTGTAATTCTTCAAGTGGGTCTTCACTATCGGAATCGGTGTCCGGTTCATTCTGATTTATGTCCCCTTCTGAGTTTTCTGAATCTGGTGAGTCCGCTCGGGGAGCTCTACGTATATTGTCTATATAGAACTTAAGGGGAATCCCGTCTCGAATCACACTATAAGTAGTTTTGGAATGTCTCTCAGAAACTTGACAGGGACCAATTCAAGTTGGATGGAATGCGTTCTCGGTCACAGGACGAGTTTCACGTACCATCACGTGGTCGCTAATCTTGAATTTTGGTGAATTTAGAATTTTCTTCTTCGTGTACTTCTGTTGGTATTTTTGTTGCCTTTTCCGTATCTTCGCAATACGTTGCTGTAAGGAATGTCTTTGATTCGTCACCGGTACTGAGCTTTTGGGGTGGACCCAGTCTCCTGGAATCCGATTATATCCCAACAGGGCTTCTGCAGGTGGGTAACCTGTGGCAGCATTCTTGCGACACCTAATTGAAATAAGGACGCGGGGCATAAACTTATCCCAATCTCTAGGCTTTTTATTTATCATAAGTGCTTTTAATGTAGTTTTAATTTCTTTATTTCGTCTATCGACTGGGTTTGCTCGTTGATGAAAAATAGCGGTGGTGCGATGTTCGATTTTATTTTTGGAACAAAACTCTGCCCAAACATTGGAGATGAATTGCGGCCCGTTGTCCGTTATTATTGACTTTGAATAGCCGAATCTGAGTAAAACATTTTCTTCGAGGAAGTTAACAATTCGCTTAGTGGTAGAATCTCTAACGGCTAGAATTTCTATCCATCGTGTAAAAACATCTTCCACGACAATAATAAATTTATTTTGAATAAAACTTCTCTGATAGGGGCCCATTATGTCTACACTAAGCAATTCCCAAGGATTTTGGGGTAAATGAGACTCAAAAGGGGCACGAATTTGAGCTGTGGTCTTAACTGACCTGCATACTATGCATTTATTGACATATTTAGCAATGACTGTATGCATTTTTTGCCAGTAAACTCGCTCTCTGATTTTCTGTACGTTTCATCACGACCTGGGTGACCAGAAAATTCAGAGTCATGGTACGTATACAAAATCCTTGAAACGAATTTTTCAGGTACTATTACAGCAGTACTATAACAATATGGTATCCTTTTGAGGGTCTGTTGTTCCTGCCATAAATTGTGTGACATTTAGTAGGTTCCTAACAGTTGAACGACCTTTCATAAATCCAGAGATTTGCTGACTTACATAATTATAGAGCTTATTGTAAATAATTATCTTAAACGCCTTGATGAAATTACATATAATTGATATTAGCCGGAAGTTTTCGATATTGCACTGGTTTCCTTTTTTAAAAACTGGACAGACACTGGAGCGCTTCCATGCTTCAGGAAATATATTAGATTTAGATTTAGAAGGATAGTGAGTGGGTAAGCTAGAATTTGAGCACAGTCCTTAACAAATGCCGGAATGACATCAGGACCTGTCGTCATTTTCGTTTAAATTTGTTTAAGGGCGGATAAAACCTCATTTACTGAAAGGCGGGATACGATTAATGTGTTATTATGGACCGAGGTATAATGTGATTGAAAAACTGATGATGGACCATATGAGCGTGCAAAAATCAGCAGAAGCATTTAGGATAGTTTCCGGTGTATCAAACGTTCTACCATTATACATCATTTGATTATCTATACGTGATTTTCCTCTTTTATTATTAACAAAATTCCAAAATTTATTAGGATTATCCTTTATATTATTTGCAATAGAGCTGACATATTCCCTATAAGCTTCGTTTATTTAACATTTAATTTCACGCCTTAAACGTAAAAATTTACTATAAGCACGAGGATCGTTTATAACATAAGGAAACTCACATAATCGTAGAATGAACAGAACATATACGACAGGGACTTTACATGCTTGTGAGATATATTATCTAATATACGGACTTCATTTAACGGTATAACGTACCTACTGATTCCTACAGCATATATTTTGTGCGTCTTCGACTTCTTCTTCGCACTAATAGCAATATTTAATACTATCCCCAGCCGCTACTGCCATGTTGTCAAGTGGTCGGATGTCCGATTCGCTTGGCATAAAAATGTTTATACGTATATAAATCGAGCGTAAAATCGATGTTAGCGCTGCACCTGTCAAACCAGTGAACTAATATATACGAATTCATTCGCAACATTGACACTGGACGTCTCCTTTAAAGTATGTACGAATGGAAGTGTACAACCTCATGCATACCGTAAAATTAATATTAACGTTTTCGATATTGGACCTTTTTTATACGGAAGTCCTATGAAATCCGGACCTCCGATTGATGATATATGAAAAATGTACGATTTAATATAAACTCCTCTTTTTGGAATAATTCCAGACACTATTTTATTTTAATAACATCAATTCAATGATATTGAACAATAAAGTCGACTAATGGGAATTCATTCTCAACTGTGTACTAAACTCTCCGAATAATGTTCTCAACAAATATACGTGTTATTAAAACTTACCGAGCTTAAGATCTTCTTCCAATTCTCTTTCAATAAGTGGTACTGGTGTTCGAAGCCTTAACATTTCTTTTACCACTTGGTCTAAATATTTCATTGACTGTAAATTTTCGTGGGTTAGTTTGCTGAAATCGTTGTTTAGAGTTGATTTAATTTCTTCATATAATTTTTCTTGTACATCCCTATGTTTAGACAATTCGAATAAAGTAAAAGATAAAGCTGAGGTTGTAGTGTCGTATCCCTAAAAATATTTGGATATTTACTTTAATTATTTAAATATGATTAATTGATAATATAATAATATACTAACTGCGAATAAAAAATTATTTATTTCTTCATGAACACCATCATCAGGAAGTTTCGCATTGTGCATGAGTTGATCTATTAAACTAGTATTTTTCTTAATTGCAGGTAAAATTTCTGTACCTCCATTCATATTTATATACAGATCATGTTTATTTTGAATGATTATCTTTGCCTTCTCATCTATGACATCCAAAGAACTCTTATGTATTTTGAAATCTTCAGAGAAAAGTTTAAATAGAATTTCGAAGCGTTTCCACATTGAAAAGGCTCTTGTAAAAACGATTTTTGCGTAGTTGTCGACAGATTTGATGTAATCCAGTCCTTCGCCGTTCTGTACATTTATTCTTATTCCGAACGATGATTCTGAAATGAAAATATCATAAGTATTCTTAGAAAAATGGACTAATTTGACGTTAATAAGTGATACCGTTATTTTGTGAATTATCATCTTTTTCCTAGCATTTTAATAACATAACTTAATATTTCGTAATGAGGACGATTACATCCGAGATCATTACTTAATGACAAAATACGTATAATTTCGATAAATTTAGATAAATTTCGATAAATTTCGATAAATTTCGATAAATTTCGATAAATTTCGATAAATTTCGATAAATTTCGATAAATTTCGATAAATTTCGATAACTTTCGATAAATTTCGATAAATTTCGATAAATTTCGATAAATTTCGATAAATTTCGATAAATTTCGATAAATTTCGATAAATTTCGATAAATTTCGATAAATTTTGATAAATTTCGATAAATTTCGATAAATTTCGATAAATTTCGATAATTTTCGATAAATTTCGATAAATTTCGATAAATTTCGATAAATTTCGATAAATTTCGATAAATTTCGATAAATTTCGATAAATTTCGATAAATTTCGATAAATTTCGATAAATTTCGATAAATTTCGATAAATTTCGATAAATTTCGATAAATTTCGATAAATTTCGATAAATTTCGATAAATTTCGATAAATTTTGATAAATTACCATAAATTTCGATAAATTTCGATAAATATCGATGAATTTCGAATTTAATCATGCCCCTCCCTGCTTTAGAAGCAGAAATAGCAGGAGGTAACTTATATTAAGTAGATACTACTACTTATTACTACTAATTTTAGTACTAATTTTTAAATAACATGGATACTTAATTACCGGCAATAACTTCGAAAGAAAATTTTGATATGAATTCTCTTGCATCTATTTCGACACCTTTGTCAGCTTGTTCATCAAGTCTTTCAATCAAAGTGTTTGAAGATCTTTTGAAAAGTGTAAAAAAGTCTTTGAGCACGCTAAAATGGAAAGATGGAGTGCACATTTTTCTTCTTTGTCTCCATTTATCACCTAAAAAATACAAGAATATGTTTAGTATTTAGTGAGAAGGTACTGCTTGAAGTAATAATAATTCTTTGAAGTCAGGTACAATTTTGAGAAATTTAAATAAAATAAGGTTGCAAGTCAGAAATTTTTTATAGTGTCCGGTACTTACGTCTCAAGTTTACATTTTCTGAGAAACAAAATTTTTTTGACTTAAGTACCTATTACCTGACGTTAGATAAATATTTTCTAGTAACGGGGCATTGGCATCTGGCCATTTAACTGTTAGAATAAAACAATTGTATTTGATTGATTTTATATATCATTATCTTACTAAAATCAACACAATATATTAAATTCTAACCTGCACTAACAATTAAACCATCTTTCAACCAAGGTTTTGCCAAATCGTATACTTTAGTTCTCTTAATGTGGACATTTGATTTCATCACATGTTCTATTAGATTTGCATCACATGTTACAATATGAAGAGATTCTCCAATGTATAATTTGCAAGTTTTTCCATATTTTTCAATGAGCTCATCAAACATACACTTTAAATCTGAAAACAAAAAAAAGTTTTATATAATATGTTAAATAAAATCAACTTCGATCTCTGTTATAAGGAAACAAATTAATAATGTATACTATAGAATACAGACAAACATACAACCTACAAACTGGTTCAGTAAATTACTCATTTAGGTACAGACCAGGCCAATGAATACCAACGAATGGGATTTGGCAATGGAAAATGAAATCGCTGTCAGTAATAAACGTTCGTCGGATGCGAAACTGCAAATATCGATGAACGAATGGATGACAAAGTTATTATAACTTGTGCTGAATTTATACTTCTCAATACAGAATGAAAGAAAAAAATAAAAGCGCAAACGAGGATGGTGGACGTGGACTTTATTTAAAAAAAGAAATACCTATAGTGAAAGCCAACTGATGCTTGATTTACAAATGGAAAAGACATATGGCTTGTTTAACAAATTTTGTAGAATGTCTGCAAAATAATTTGAGTGGCTCTTAAATGCCACTGTACCTGAAATAAGTAAACAAAATACGAATTATCTTAAGGCTAGTCGATCGAATTAGCAATGAGCCATCACCTATGACTTTTAGCATTTGGAAACACATACATCAGTCTTTCATATCTTTTTAAAATTTCAAAACAGGCAATTTATTCAATAGTTTATGTGAAGATCTTTCCTACTGAGCAAAGACGTTTGTGGAAGGGTTGTGTATAAACGCCTTTCTATGAGTTAGCCCTAAAGTAACTCTCCAGTTCCTTATACCTTTCGCAATTTTGGAATAAGAAATGGTTCTAGTACTATGAACTCAGATTCGGTTCCTCTTTTATTAAGCGCGTCGGGATTTTTATTACCCTTCACACCGTTGTGTCCCGGTATTTATACAGTTCCAAACCAGCTTTGAGTCAACTTGATTGGAGATCAGGGCCTTGAAAGCTGCCTAACTATTCGAAAATATCTTTATAGTCTTATAGGCAGGAAAATTAATCAGTTCTCTCGGTCCCTATTCCATAGCATTTATTTCGGCTTGGAAAATCGTATCAAGAGTGCCCAGGTTTATAGATATTCTAACTATTGGTTTCTCGCTGAAAACTCCCGCTCTAACTCCTTTTTCAGTTTTAAAGACGTTTGTGTACAGTGCATAGTCTGCCTAGGAAAGAGTTTTATCCCCTCAGCTGCATCCGTCTTTCTCTCATGATAGGAAGAGCAAAAGCAATACTAGTACAGTAAGCTACAGATAAAGCATTTTAGGGTGATTAGAAAAGGAACTACAGAATCTGATAAAAATCCAAACAAAAGCACTGGAGATATCTATGTGAAGATAGATATCTTCACCAAACTTCTATGCGAAAACTGGAACACAAGGCTTACGAGGCTCTGTGAAGCATAAAGAGCTGGATGAAGCGAACAGAGTGCAGTTGGTACCTGCGAAGACCACAATAAAGTAGTGGTCAAAGAACACGGATGGAAGGCGAGAAGACTTGAAACAAGATTCGAACTTAGGGGAAGTAACCATTAAACCTGTAACGGAAATTAAGTACCTCGGAACCACACTGAATAATCTGGGTAGTATTGGGAAATAAATAAGAACATTAACTAAAAAGGAAGAAGATAAGATTAAAATAATTAGAACAATAACAAACATAGGAGAACCAAATAGTAAAATAAGGAATATGCTAGTTAATGTAGTACATTCTGTACTTTTGTACCGGTTACCAATATGGGTCGATGCTCTGTGGGTAACGAGACATAGGCAAATGATGAAGAGTGTCCAACTAAAGGTACATACCGCACAGTGTCCCTGCAAAGCACTGCAAGAGGTATACTCATACACATACAGACCGACAAAAGAAGAAGACTGTACGACAGAAGAAATAGGCATCTAACCACGATTATGAAAGAAGAGAGACAGGTAAGCCTCAGAAAGTGGCAGTCAAAATGGGAAGATAACATGAAAAAAGGCCAATTGACCAGATATTCAGAGGTGGTATAAATGTACGCAAAAAAATTGGGAAGACACAGGAGTGCACATTAATAGTAATACATATTACGAGTAAAGCACTACGAGTAATGCACTACGAGTGATACAGGAGTGATACACATTACGAGTGATAATTATGCATAGCGTACGGTTAGCCGAAAAAATATTGTCTACTAAAAAAAAACATGAAAGGCAAGAATAGTAATGGATAAACCCTGCATCCTTAAATAAAGTATACAGACGATACTGGAGTACTTGGGGTGAGGGGTGGTTTAAGTGGGTAACTAGAACTTGCACAACAGAGGATGGAGTCCTGCACTATTGGTAAAGGACAGAACCGGTAGCTAATATTCATCAAGGATTTTTATCCGCAAATAAGGCGTTTATTTGTAATTATGGCCTATTAAATACACGTGTATTTTTTTATTAGTTAAGAACAAAATAATGAGCAACCGGAATTTTCTGTTATAAATTTCCAGTAGTAATTAAATCAAATAAATTAATATATAGCTATAGTTAAAAAGAAAATACTAGCATACCCTTTATTTTTGTAGCAACAGTATTATTAGAAATAATAGATAAATAAACAATTAATAATTATTGGTACGTATTATTCAATTAAGGGGGGTAACGTTAATTCGTGCAAAAAATGCACATTTCTGTGAATTATTTTTGATGACACAGTTAAAATCTGTTTATTTAAACTAATGGTACATTTAAGTATAACATTCAAAGAATATTGTGTCAAATTTACATGAACGAATATGAAAAAATACGGAAATGGCACCAATTATTCGGAAGCGTCTCGGAAAAAAGTAGAATTGCGGTGCCCCTAACTCGGTGCTGATAGAAATGAAAACATCTAAATTATTTCGTTAGGGAATCGTTTTCTCTAAGTAATACTGGAAGGGTTTTTTGAAATTTTAATTTTTTATTTTTTGGGAACACTTTGAAGTAAAAAAGGCGATTCTTGCGAAAAAACAGGCTAATTTGTTATTATCAATTAAAAAAATATTAACAAATTTAAAAAACTCTTTAGTGTTACCTCGTAAATTACTTATAGAAATAGTGTTCAAAATTTTAAAAGGATATGTTCTGTAGTTTTGAAGTTATGAGGAGCACCGACTTTGGAAAGCGAGTTTTTATTGGCTTATCTCGCACTGAATCATCTATGCCAGGTCTATAAAGGATGTGGCTATCATCCATAATGTCTAAAGCATCTTTTTGCTCCTGTTTACGACGAATCCTCATTCATGAGCGCTTGATAGCTTGATCCACTACTGGTTCCCATGTCTTGCATGGAGGTTAGCAAAGCAAAAGACCCTGCCAGGCCAATGCTACACTAAATTATATACAGTACAGGCAGGGCCGACTAGAGGGGGGGGGCAGCTGGGACGGACTAATTCCCGGGGCCCAGGCTAAAATGGGGGCCCGGCAGCGGTGATGAGGATTTTTTTATTACTTTCTGAAGTTTTACACAAGAGGGGCTAAGTTCTTGGTTGAAGATCTTTTTTTAGAGAAATTCAAGTAGAGGAGGATAAATTTTTGCTTGAAGGCCTTTTTTTAGAGAAATTGAAGTAGAGGAGGAGAAATTTTTCCTTGAGTAACTTTTTTGTTAAATTTTTTATAAAATTGTCGCCGGGCCCGATCTAGAGAATTGTCCTGGGGCCCAGTCTGGCTCTCGGAGGCACTCAGTAAAACGAAAACTAAAATAATGAGAATGGAAATAATGTAAATTTCAAAATGTATATTCCGATAAGAATATTTTTCTACGTTCATGCAAAAAACAAAACTTTATTGAACTATATTTAGTGAAAAAACTGTTTCTTTATTGCACTGGTGCAATAAAAATTTTATTGCACTCATCTGTCATTTTACCACAGCGTTTTATGATCATGACAAACATAAATATTCAAATCAATGCCAAATAGTTATTCCATTTTTGTTTTACGTTTTAAAAACAATTGCATATTTTATATTATTTTCAATCATTTAATAAATAAATTAATAAAAAAATGTATTTTATTAAAAATGTCATTACAAATTATGAACACAAACGTAAATAAATGCCTCAAACAAAGGTACACGATCACTCCTACTATGATTTGGATAATACAACTGCAGTTCTATAAAACATTCTTTGGTTTTTGCACGAACGTAGAAAAAATATTGTATGCAACTCGTGCAAAAAGTGTTTATTGCACTCGACGTGTTGTCAAACTTATTTTTTGCACTTGTTGCATAAATAACTATTAAAATTGTGAATTTATGCAATAAGTATCTGACCGATTTGATTTTACATCTTAATTTTAGACATTTGTGTACATTTTAATAATTTTTTAACATTACCGAAAGATAGAAGCTTAAAAAATTTATCAAAGAGTGTAATATAAACTATATACCATTTTTTGGGATATCTTAACTCTCTTAAAATGTTAAAATATTATAAAAGTTATTCTGACAATTAAAAAAATATTGTTACGCAGGTATTTAGTAACTCAATTTATTTCATGAACGTACTTATAAGATCTATCATAAAACTGAAACCCTGACGTGAGGATAACCGACTTGTTGGTCGCTTTAACCTTCTAGAACCTTCCCGAAACGTTCAGCTGTTTTTTGACATGGAATGACATTTCTAGAGATTTCTCGAATATTTTTCCTACTTCTTTTACTCGCAACTTTACTTATGACGACCGCATCACAATGTAGGGTGATGGGTAACATTGCTTCCCTCTCTAGTTATTTGTCCCGAATAATTTGATCACTAGGACCTGGTTGGGGCTAACGGGGAGGATCTAGACCACGGTATGGCGCTAACTGCTCTTGGGATTGCACATCCATACTGGGTTACCTCTCTCAAAATGTGACCCAATGGCACGCATATCGAGTGTAGCTTCTGCTTTGTCGCTGTTGGTTTTCAGACGTTTTCAAGCGAATCTGTAGACCTTTATCCTGCCATTGTATACACCACATTTTTTACACCAATTCTCTACATCCCGTCAGCAATTGATCCAATAAAATATTTCCCCAACTGGTGCC